CCTATGATCGACAATATGCCCCCTCCAAAATTCCCAGCCACCATCAATATTGAGTGAGAGCTGACAGTGTTCATTGAACGTTCTGAACGTTCAGTGAACATCTGAGCTGCGAAAAAAGTTAATTTCGATGCTCGAAAAAAATCGAGGATCGAGAGAAAAAAAAAAACAAAGATGCCTGATCGAGACGCAGACGCCATCTCCAACGCTTCCGGCGAACTGCGAGGAGCTGCTCTCGTGCGCATGCGCAGGCCGAAGAGGTGGAGGTCGGGGGGGATCGCGGCCGGATGGCGACCGGAGGAGGTTGACCGGAGGAGGTTGACCGGAGGAGGAGGTCGGACGGATGTCATCCAGCGAGGAGGGCGGGTCGGCCTGTGGCTCCTGCAGTGCTTTTCGCTCTCAGGCCGTTTTTCACTCGTGGGACGTTTCTCGTGGATGTCGGAGTCGGGTGAGAAATTTCTGATTCGATTGGAAAACACTGTTTCGCGTTGCTCTGAACTATGCTGAGCGTTTTCCTTAAAATCCGGAAACATGGATCGTGATAAATCCAATGTTTTTTTTTGTTGTTTTTTTATAAGCTGTGCGACCCCGGAATTATTTATGGACCATCACGCGTGGATTTTTCACCGACCGTCGCCGAGTCACTGCGAACGCACAGAGATTCGAGCTTGATGGCGCTCCAGCGACGGTGGCCGTCTGCGATCCGTTTTCCCTGTTCACCGGGTTTCCTACCTCCCGACGCACAGCCGCGACGATGCAACTTCGTCGCCGATCCGCTGGAGGCGCAGATGGTAGTGACGTCATGCGCCGAGCGGCCAATCGGCGTCGTTGCAATCAATGAGTTCAATATGGCGACGAGTTGGCGTTTTGGTGACGGGGAGGCCCGGTCTCACATCGACGTGGCGTGGTTCTCTCACTAGGAAATATTGATGGTGGCTGGGAATTTTGGAGGGGGCATATTGTCGATCATAGGGAGCGATATATATCTACGAATAAGGGTAACCTTAGTGTTGGGAATTTCGTTATCTGTCAAGCGTGACGGGGAACTAGACCGGTTGATTTGGTGGGCCTAGGCCTCTTTCGAATTCCGTATCCCCCAGTAAACATAGTAAGCCTACCTCCGATTAGGCTTCGCCTTCGATAGCATATTAAGTCAGTACGATTAATGTAGAAGTTAGTGGAAGTGTCCTCGTTGGCCTTTAGTTCGAAGTTCTTCCGAACTCATTTTAGGCCTACTTGGGCAATGTGGGCCCAAGCGACAGCGGATATTCATTAAAAAGACGTAGAATGGGTCGTAACAATCTAAGGTTGACATTAAGCCTTGATCAGCATTGGCTCATATTGTGGATTCACCTTTGGTTTGCATATAAGATGACTTGAAGGTCTGACATATGCTTGAAAATACCAATGGGGTTTATGGTTGTATGTGTACCCCCAGGGATATTGTGTTGCTCCACAGTTTAGGTCAGGTTAGGGTAGGGTGAGGTGGTGTTTGTTATATATAAAAGGAATCCCAATTGATGTAGCATGTTTCCAGTTTTATTCATCTGGTAACATTGGAGACTGGAGTGCAATTTCATTAGGGGGTATGTGCTTGACCGTTACCAAACATGGGCACGAACCTAGATGGGTTCAATTTGCAGTGATCTTGCCTTTGAACACGATGCTCAGAGCTGGCCAATGTTTTTTTTAAAATGGTATTAATATTTCCGTATTGGAGAGGTGAAAGTTGATTTTGCCAGTGTCTCAGTGGCTCCATGGGGGTTCAGTCTGTCTGATGTGAATATTCATGTTTGAGGGAATGTGACTATTGAATACAGATCCTTTTATGGCTTAGCCTGTGCCAGTATTCTATCTAATGAGATCTTTGAATGTACCAAGGGGCATCTTTATAGTCTGACCTGTAATGAGCATATTCAGAACACTGGGCCTGAGTTTCAATGTGAGTAACATGCATTTCACATCACTGTATCTAAAATATTAAGAAACTGGCTGATAAGATTACTGAAGGAATTTTTTACTATGTTAGCTTCTCTTACTGCTGAAATGGCTCAAAGAGTAAGGGATCTTAAGTATTGGAATGATAATCAGGTAAACTTGCTTGGCATCCCCTCTGTATATAAAGTTTCATTTTGGTCTAGCAAAGCTAACGTTTGTTTTTCTGGCAGTTTTGTAAAGCAAGAATATTTTTGGGAGAGAGTAATTTAGGTTGAAGATGGTCGGAACAGGAGGTAACACGGTGCCTCTCGGAAGGACCGCGCCTTCGTTCAGTCGAGCGGGAGACATGCCCAGTCTCCTCAATCCCAGTTACCTTCAAGGCGCGTGCGCTGCTGCCAACGCTGCCGCCAAGCGATTCAATGAAAGTGCAGGTATCTCAGAAGGTGAGCATTGCTTTTCCATGGGTTAACAGGGACAAGATTTTTGTGGGCAGCTTTTAGACCATGCTTCTCTCGCACAGTGGACGAGTCCAGCTCCGACAGGAAGCGTCGTCGAAAGTCCCGCTGGGCGGACGACACCAAGTCGATCCTGCCCGGCATGCCGACCGTGTTGCCCTCGAATCTGAGCAAGGAGCAGGAAGAAGCATATTTATGTGAGGATCACTTCTCTGTCTCTTGAATTCGTGTTCAGCATACCCTTCACGTAGACTTTGCATAGGTTTAAGGAGGCAATTTCTTAGGTCATGTAGGCCTAACACATTGTGCAAGAATGACTAAAGGTCTAAAAATTTGTTCCATTAGCACGTGCACTCCGGATGTGGTTTAGGGATATTCAGTGATGCTGAATTCACGTTCTCCCCCTTTCTCATGCATTCAAGAACGAGGATTTTGTGTTGTGAATATTTTTGTATGCCATGATTTGTTCTTGTTACTTGAGAGAGGGTTCTAATATGTGTTTGGGGTTTTCTTGGCCCCTTTTTTCTTAACCCATCTGACCCACAGTGCAGCTTCAGATCGAGGAGATCACTCTGCGGCTCCGAACCGGCGATCTCGGTATCCCGCCTAACCCCGAAGACAGGTCGGAATGTCGTCTCCCCTACTAGAGATTGGACCAAGTTTTCTTCTTTGTTCCTTTTTCTTGAATGAGAACTTTCTTTTTAAAGGAATAAGCCATTATCTCTTTAAGTTTTCAGTAATTTTTTCAATTCAAATGACTTTCATGATGGCAACATTATCTGTTTCAACTTCTGTCTAAAATTGTTTAAACTTGTAAAATTGCTTTCATGCTCAATGTATATAATTTCAATCTCATTCAAATTTTCTGCTGTGCACAGTATAAACTGATATGTTGGAGGTCCCATGCTGATGTTGAATGGACCTCTGCCATGAAGCAGGGGGCAGTAAGTTGCAGTAGGATATTTTTAGGACTAACACCATGATACCAAACAACGCTGATGTGAATAGGCCTTAGGCCATAGGCCTAGGCGTGTATGATTTCACGAGCCGTCGCACGTCTCTCCTTTGCAGGGATTGATAACCTTGAAATCACAAAGGAATCATTTTTCTCTCCTGCAGGATTTTAATTTGACTTGCAATCTTGCTTTCCCCCTCATAATCATCTAGGCATATGTTCCTTTTCAGCCATGAATTTCCATTCTGTGGGTTTGTCAAAACCTGTACATAATTTGTTGCATTGTAAGTGCTATTGCAATTGAGTATTAGAAACATTACTTTTGACATTGTTCAGTGTCTCACCTTGATATACTTGATTTCTTTAGTAAAGGTCTCAAAAGGTAGTTCTAAGATTTTGAACATTGCCTGATCAAAAACATTAAGGTTAACAAGCTTATACACCATTCCAGATCTCTTCCAGGCTCATTGGTTTCTTTCAGGATTACAGCAATACTGTTGACAAGGCATTTTGTGCTTACAAAGGCCTGCCTGTTAAGCTTCAGCAGAAGTCCATCAGCATTTCAGATATGAAGGACCATCGTAATAAATCGCCTCGTGTTCTTGTGCTTCTGGCAGTGAAAATTTTGCCATGTTGCCTTTTTTGTTTGTTATGCAATTGGGAAGGGTCTTGCTTGCAGGTCCCCGTCCCCAGAACCGATCTACAACCACGAGGGGAAGAGACTGAACACTCGAGAGTACCGCACCCGCAAGAAGCTGGAGGAAGAGCGCCACAAGCACGTCCAGCGCATGTTCCAGATCAATCCTGAATACAAACCGCCCCCAGACTACAAGTGAGTGTCGCTCTCGTTTCTGATTGTTCCTAGGTGTAGTGCAGATTTGTTTCATTGTTCTGGGTTTCGACAGGCCACCCATTGTGAAGGTGTTTGACAAGGTCATGATTCCACAAGATGAGCATCCGGAGATCAATTTCGTCGGGCTGCTCATTGGACCAAGGGGCAACACCCTGAAGTGTAAGTAAAGCAATCATGTCAGTGCATCTCAATAGGGTGGATGGTACTGACTCCTGTCATTGCCAAAGCTAAATTTTTAGGCACTGCTTGCTTTTGTTCACATGGGTTTCATTAGGGCAAATCTATTGATGGAATTTCTGTCTGGTTGAGATTCCAGCAGGGGTCTCCATTGCTGGCATTAGTATGGTTGGTGAACATTTTTTTCTTGCCATTAAAATTATGAATGCAGCTTAAGTTCAGTTTGCAGACTGGATATTGATACTTCTCATATGTAGGTGCAAGTCTGATGAAGAATGAAAAATTAAGTGGTTCATGCATTACTGAGCTCCTACATTACTACTATGCATCTTGACTAATGAAATTCCATCTGTATGTTCCATGAATAGCGTGCATTCTGGTGACGTTTCCCTGAATTAATGTGATCTGCATTTGTAGCCATGGAGAAGGAAACTGGGGCAAAAATCATCATTCGAGGCAAGGGTTCTGTAAAAGAAGGGAAGGTTGGACGCAAGGATGGACAACCGCTTCCCGGGGAAGACGAGCCCCTTCATGCTTACATCACGGCCCACAATCACGAGAGCGTGAAGAAGGCTGTCGACAAGGTGAGTCGCCTGACGGTTTGTGGAGTGTGGCTCGAATCTTGGCTTACGAACTAAGAAGCCAAAAACTGTTTGCATTTCAGATCAAGGAGGTGATCAGCCAGGGGATCGAGGTGCCCGAGGGTCAGAACGACCTGCGTCGGATGCAACTGCGGGAACTGGCTCTTCTGAACGGAACCCTGAGGGAGCTGGATGGACCTCGCTGCTCCAACTGTGGGGCTGCCACTCATAAGAGCTGGCAGGTTTGTAGTCCAAAACTTGTCAATGCCTCTGCAGAAACTAGGTCCTTGGTGTGGTATTGTCTTGCATGAACTCAATGATAGTCATAGATGCCAAGCTTATGGTCTTTGATCAAATTCAAAGTTCCATTCAATAAATTCAATTTAGGAAAGAGACTTACTTTGTTGGTGTTGGTAGAGAGGGAATTGTGGGAGTTGTCCCAGTGATTATATCATGGGAACATAACTAAGAGACCAGTTGGTCTGGTCTGATTTTCATGTCAAGATTAATCTGATTCTCTGCCATCTACCATATTTACCATAATAATTATTGTTCCATTTCTGCTATTGTGATTTTCCTTAATCACTTTCTCTTTTGTTTTACTTCTGACTAGTGTACCATCATGCGCTGTTCGAGACGCATACTTTTCCTAATACTGGTGTTTCCATTGACATTCAAATGTTTCTTGCAGTGTCCAGACAAACCAAATGTCACCACAACAATGGTGTGTATGAACTGCGGAGGGGCAGGGCATCTGGCACGGGACTGCCGGTTCAAGCGCCCTGGAACGGATCCCAACTCCAATCCGTATACTTTCAATGCCAACAAGTCCAAGATCGATGAGGAGGTGAGTACTTCTTATTTTATATTTTTCCTGCTTCTCTGATTGCACTTTCCAGCAGTAGTCAAAGGCCTTGCCTTTGCACCATTTTTTTGTATGATCACTGTTGAATGTAAGAGGATGTAGTGCATTATTACACAGCTTGAGTACCACCGCTAGGCTGAAGAGTCCATTTTCTTCTCTCAGACTGTTTCTGTCTCGGAAAATGTTGGGGCTTACGGAAGAGAAACGAGGCCATGAACGAAAGTTGATGCGGTTTAGCATCCGTTTTCAAACTTGTGATGGAAACCCAAGAGACTCGTGGACGAGATTCCACAGACTCGAAATGTTGCATTTTGGCCAATGGGAAGCGGAAGGAATAAGAATGAGCGGAATGATGTAGGGGTGTTGCACTAGGGGGGATATGCTCCCCATGGGGTGTGCGTGCTGGCTTGTCTTGGTTGGAGGTGATGGCTCTGGCCAGATGCCATAAAGGAATGCACCGGAATTGGTCTGTGTTCTGCTCCATGGCTGGCCCTATGTGTTGTGAGCTCTCGTTGAACCGAGTGCCAGTAACTCTGATCTCTGGGAAATTCTGATGAGAGGAATGTTCCCGGCAGTAGTCCAATGGAACTTGTAATGAAATTCTCCCTTTAATCTGTGGTTATTCTGTGGTTTCCATTAATATGGAAGAGGTTTTTTTTTTTTTAATTCCCCAGGCCGTTCTCCCCTGTTAATCTGGAATTGACTAGTGAAAGAGATATAGATATGGGTGGGGGGAAATTCCATGTGTTCACCCTCCCTCTACTGAAAAACTCATTCTTCAATCTCCCCCTTTCGTGGAATCTGGTAATGAGGAATCCTCTCTTCATTGAGACTTTCTTGCTTTACTGTCACCTCACTCTTTCCATCTGTCCCATCCGTCCTCATCATTGTAGTCGTGAGGAGTTTCTCACCTCCCGTCGTGAGTAAGCGTTTTTGGTGTGATCTCATACGGAGAAGCAGGAAGTTTTGAAGGGCTTAGACCTTTAGACGCAGGTGTAAGGCAAATTGAGGTAGCACTTGATTATTCCAACTTTTGATGTAGGTGTCGGATGTAGGTATTTATTCTATGCGACTGATAAAAGGAACCGAGTCATTGCTTTCCCATTGAAAAAGAATGGAGGAATTTTTAAAAATACGTTATGGGTGTAGTTTTTCATCTCCAGGAATTAAAGAGGAAAATGAATGGTCACTTGGGCAAGTTTTCAGTAATATGGACGAAAGCATCCGTCCCCGCAAATCTAGATTAACGTGGCATGAAGATAGAGATGGATTCTATTTTGAATGAATACTGTCGCATGTGTCATCCAGTGCTTTCACAGATTCTCATGAAAATAGAGGCGCTTCTTGGAATGAACTCGCTCTAAGCTCCCTGCTCACATTGAACCCCTGGCGAATCATCACTATTCCTTTTTTTGCTTCTTGGACTTGATCTCATCTGTCTTTGCATTTGGGAGTGGTTTTTTATAACCCGATTTGCTCTTTTTTGTAGTACTCGGCCCTGATGGCAGAACTTGGTGAAGGACCCCCACCTTCAAAGACATCGACTGCCACCACCACCAGTAGCACCGGTACCACGACCACATCCAACTCGTACAACTCCTACTCGGGGTCCACCAACCGTTACCAGAGCCCTTCGTCGTACGGGAGTCGCTTCAACCGACCGCAGTATAATCAACATGGGCCTCCTTCAGGGTGGGGCATGCAGCAGAATTCTGGGACTCAGTATCCGGCGATGACTCCACCGTGGCAGCAGGGGGGGAATCAAGGCCAGATGAGAATGCCATATAATTACGGGCCACCGTCCTCGGCTCAGAACGCAAACGCCATGCCTCCTTGGCAGACGACGTGTGGATATGGCGTCCCTCCCTCTACGACTGCCCCACCCCCATGGGGAATGACACCGCAGTGGCCCCAGCCGAATCCAGTTCCTCCGCCGCCAACCCGACCTCCAAACGCCCAATCGCTGCCGTGGCAGCCTCCATTGGGAGTTCCTCCTCCTCCCCCGCCTCCACCAGAACAGACACAGGATCAGCAGCTGCCGCAACAGCAAGGGAATAAGCAACAAGGGAATCAAGGCATTGATCTCAATGCGCTTGCACAGGCTGGCTTGCCGAGTCTGCTCACTGCTCCTCCACCCCCACCACCCAGTTAAATTTATTTTTTTGTATGACGAAGTATGATGTTTTGGGAGTGAGCGAAAATTTGCAGGCAGTACCTTGCTCTTCATGTGGAGAGGGCGAAAGTGAAATCATTTTCTTTTTTTTTTTACTTGCAAAAAGATAATAAAATGTCTGTAAATAAACAGTTCCTTTGCCTGTATGAAGTATTCAGCACATGTTGTTTTATGGTATGTAAATTTCAATCTTAGCTTTGTAGATATATAGTTTCTGCATCAAACATCTCTACATCTTGTAGCATTTGTACCCTGGCTCATTGGTTTCTTGGGATGGTGTATCGTTGCAGGTTGTAAACAATGTTTTTGTTCTCTAGTGCCCATTGTTTTCGTTCACTCATGCCCTCCTTTTTTCTCTAATCGTTGTGTATGGCTCAATAAATTACACATAGTAAGACCAAGTACCTCGGTTGTCTTCCGTTCCACTATGTGGTTCAGCGCACTCTGATGCGGTGGTTCGTTCCGACACGAAGCCTGCCGAGAGACCGGCGATTAGACTCCTCTGTTACGAGGGCATTGGTTGCCTTGACTGTGTGGATTCCAGCACAGCACAACCTACCATCTCGTCATCGGGGTATCTGCTTGTAGTCGACCACAGAATCAGGTTATCTGCAAGCAGATAACCCAAAGCAGGAACTGGATGCAGATAAGACGAGGGCACATATGCCTCTCTGGTGCTATTTCCCTTGTGTATGCTGTCTTCCCTCCAAAGGCCCCCAGGTAGGAATACCACCACCAAGTTATTTTCTTTTCGAAGTTGCTTCACCTCGATTCAAACTGTTCATGAGACATTGAGGAATAGTTTTGTTCTCTCATCATCGTTTCTCATTCTGAGTCATTTATACACACTGATGAAGAATCCTCACCGGCCTGATCACAACTCGATGAAATTTTGCATATGTACCATAGGACCTGCTTGAACTCAGATGTTTGATATATTATTACAACTTGTTGCCCATTGTCCACATCTCCATGGCTGTCTTCATTATGTAATAGTAAAAATAATGGGATAGAAACAGGAAAAAGTCCCACCTAATACCCCATTACATTGAAAACTTGCATATTAAAATATGAACTTTGAATGGGAGTAAACTTTACCTTTCAGTTGGATGGGATGGAACCACCAAGATGAGTCAATTTGTGCATTGGTAATTAGTTATGTACAATAAGTATGTTTCTTTGCATAATTTTCCAAATTCTTTTTCTCCTGACAGCCATGACTTGCAACTTGAAAAAAAAAATTAAGAAGCTTTGTCGAGACATGGGAGATCACACATTCATGCATCTTAATTTTCCCATCGCCATCTTCCCATAAAAATGCATAGGACTGGCTTGAGAGCTGAACTCGAGGCACAAAGCGCTTACACTCAACCATGTTGCGTTGGATAAATGAGAGTTTCATTGCGGTCTGCATCATGAAGGGCTGGAAGGTAAATTGGTCTATCTGCAAAAAAATTTCCGAAAAATGTGTCGCTGGTTCTGGGCTAATAGGGCCTTGTTCCTTTCATAGAAAATTATTTTTTTTTTTGGAATTAAGTAAAGAATGAAGTGATCTATCGATACATACCACTTTTTCTCAAATTTAACATGCCGGTCACCGAAATATTCACTCATTTCGTGTGGATCTCCAGTAAATAATTTTTTGCAGATAGACCACTTTGCCTTTCAGCCCTCCAAATATCGCAACGCTGCATCCGCACCATAAGCGGCATTCAACGGCTTCATTGCAATCAGAATAACGCCCTCGGTGTGGCAAGAGACAACCACTAGGGTTGAAAGAGGGTCGGCCGGAACGGGGCCAACTCCTGTTTGCAATCTTCTTGGGTTGAGAGATTGAACGGAAACTGGGCATATCTGTTCGAATTGGGTAGTCCAAGGCATGCGACCATTACTCGTTTGAGTTTTCAGAATGATTTAATTTATTTAGTTTTTTTTTTTTTCTTTTGAGATTTACTTTTGCACTATTCCCTTAATGATTCAACTTCGGGACGAAAACGTCAGAAAGATGCAAAAAAAATTCGCTTCTCGTGCCAAACCATAAGGGATCACATTTCAAGCGGAAATCCCAAAGTAGCCTTTTATGGGATTCTGCTTCAAAAACGTGATCGGAAAGGGGCTGTTGCAATAAATATGTAGCTGTTATCAGTAGAAGAGACGGCGAGGAGAAATCATTTCAATATCTTTGCAAAAATATGTATTGGAATTTTGCACATTTATTTTCATAGTAGCCGCTGACAATTTCTGCCCGTAGTTGCCACAAGAGACGAATTGACTGAACGAAAGCTGTCTTCTAAACGCTTCGTTAAAATAAGTTCTTTTTAAAATATTGTATTTCAATAATGAGTTATGTGAAAATTTCCAGGTGTTCACTCCAGTAAGCTGGTTTTACAAATGTAAGGTATGGAAAAATAAAAATAAAAATAAAAACAATATGTATCCGCTACCACTATTCCGATTTTCAAGAAAGGTTCATCGCTTCAATTTGCAATTTTTTGCAATTCCATTGAAATTCGTTGCTCAGAGGCGAGGCCGTGTGCCATGAGAGAATTGTGAATTATCTATGAAAATCGGAGAGGAAAGTTGTAAAATGAGCGATCTCTCCTGTGTGGGTGAAGCTGTCCTGATGGTTTTGACCCGTCCGCAATGTAATCATGATCAAAATGGGAATCTCGGGAGACTTAAACTGGGTACTGATTACTCACAGCTGATGAAGACTTCAATGGTTTTTACTGGTCTTTATGTGGACTCCACTTCGTGCAGACCTTGTGCTGAAGGAAAAAAAAATTTGCAGAATGAGCAATTAAAATAAGTCATGAAACGAATCATTAAGTAAATCGCATCGCAAGAAATTAGTGCAATGAATTTGTTGCTGCAACGCCAGCCATAACCTACAGCATGCTCAGGACTAGATATAAAAATTCCTCGTTTCACTTTCCGCTAGGAATGGGTGACACACCAGATCTATTAAACTTCAATTAATCCGATCGCACAATAGTCCTCTGAGAATCCGTTTGACGTAGGAAATTTAATTCCCATAGACGCCAATCATGAAACCAGATCAGTTTCAAGCTAAACGGATATGGTGCTTGCCACCCAATAATACGCATCCATACACTGAACATAAATTTCCATCGAGCAAAATGTGTGTCCCGTCCAGGTAGCAGCCCCATGGACATGAGTGCCTCGAGTGCGAATGGAAGCGCAAGAGGGAAGGGGAAAGGGAAGGAGAAGGGCGCGGGGAAGAAGCAGCCGCTGGTGATCGAGAAGGACTTGGAGACATACAGGTTCCTGTTCTCGCGGATGAGGGAGAACATCCTGAATCACGACGGATACTGCGACCTGGTGCTGCAGGTGGAGGACGGGGAGTTCCGCTGCGACCGGTTCACGATGACGGCCCTGTGCCCCTATCTCTACGAGGGGCTGACGAGCCACTCCGAGAGAGAGTTCCGGCTCCCGGGCGTCTCGCGGCGGGGGATGCAGATCGTATGGGATTACATCTACGGGGACGGGTTCTCGGCGAGTCTGGACTCTGCGGTAGAAGCATTCCACGCCGCGAAGGTGCTCGGGATGAAGAACCGAGTGCCGAGCATCTTGATGGGTTTGATCAAGTCGCTGCTCACGCCGGGGAATGCGCCGCGAATCCTGGACAAGGCAGAGAAGCTGAAGCTGGAGGAAGTGGTCCAGAAGACGATGTGGTTCGTGGCGACTCACTTCCAAGAAGTGAGTTTCTCGGAGGGATTCCTGGCGGTCTCGCCGGAGCACCTGAAGCGGATCCTGGAGCGAGACGACCTGGAAGTGCAGTCGGAGATGGTGGTCCTGGACGCGGTGAAGAAGTGGGTGAAGCACGACGGGTCGCGGAAGGAGCTGCTGGCGGATCTGCTGTCGAAGGTGAGACTGTGGCAGTTGCGACTGGACTCGCTGCCGTCGGTGTTGGAAGACCCGGTCGTGGCGAGGGACAATCGGTGCGTGGACCTGGTGCTGGGGGCCATGACGCAGTCGATCCCGGGTCTCGGGGAGGCGAGGGAGGGGAGCGTGCGGGGGACGGGATTGTACGACCACTGGGACACGCTGTGGGGATTCGGACTGGTGCAGAACAGGGAGCGACTGTACGCGATCGACACGCGAGACTGGAGCGTGCAGGCGATGGAGTGTCCGTTCGCGGAAGACGTGTTTCACGGGGCCCTGGCTGCGGCGAGGGGGAAGGTTTACCTGTCGGGAGAAGTGCTGAAAATCTACGACATGGAGGAAGGGAAGTGGTACACGGAGTTACCGCCGCCGGTGAACACGACGTGGCCGGCGCACGCGGCGACGGTGGACTCTCTGTTCGTCTGCGGGGGAAGCGACGGAGACGCGGAACGGAAATCGGTGTATCGCTTCGACATGGGGTCGCAGATGTGGGTGGACCTCCCGGAGATGAACCACGGGAGATACGGAGCCGGAGCCACCGCCGGCCTCCAGGTCGTCTTCGTCGCCGGCGGATCCTCGGACAAGGTGAAACACGAGCGACTCGACCTTCGAGAGAAGAAATGGGCGACCCTGGCCGACCTGCCCCGCCGCTCGGCGTTCCCCGCCCTCGCGATCCACGACGAGGAGCTCTACCTGTCCGGCGGCTGGGACGACGCGGTAGAGCGAGCCCGCTCCGAGGTGTACGTCTGGGACGACAAGGCCGACAGGTGGCGGGAGGTGTCGGACGCGGTGGAGGAGCGTTGTCGACACGGGCTGGTGTCGTGGAAGGGGAAACTGTACGCGGTCGGCGGTCGGAAGAACCCGAGCGTGGAGGTCTACGACGACCTGCAGTGGAAGATCGTGGCTCGGCTGCCAGGGGATGGGTGCATCAAGGCCTGCAAGCTGGCGACCTATTGAAAAGGTGCTCAGAATTTTTTTTTTTTTTTTTTTTTAACTGATGGTGCCTTGCCTTTGCGTGGCCTCGTTTTCGTTCGATTTCGGCCTGGATGAACCGAGGTGGTTTTTTGTTGTTGTTGTTGGTGGTGTTTTCGTGATGTGACATCGATGAAATTGTGTTTTCCAGTATTATTTCTGAGAAGTTGGAATGAGAAGCATCGAACAAGTGTTGGCGTGCAAGGGATGGCATCCTAACTAGAACAGTCGATTGTAGCCATGGTAGAACAATTGTGTTTGACACATGCCGCGATTTATCCCATGATCGACGCGTGCTTTATTGTATTTTTTATAGATCTGTAGTGATTTTATTTATTTATTTTTAAATTTAAAAGTCTACTCCCTGAATGCCATCTCGACCTCAATTGAAAATGCCAATGGTGATCTTTGTGGTTGTTTACTGCTTGAGAAGCCAAGTAATTGAATGATTTGTATAGGTCGATAGAATTGAAAGGAATGAATCGTGCCTCTTTCTTCACATGAACTCAAAATCGTAGGTGTTATTGTTATTTGCCATTAAAACATACGTGGGTTTTATGGTTAATTTTTAGTTTGGACGTTCTTATGTGATTTTGACGCATTTGTATTAACAATGTGATGTTTAATTTCCTGTTTGACCATATTTAGGAAATAAAATAATTCTTCTGGAAGAGGAAAAAAAAAATAATTTTGAACTCCAGCATGCTAACACCAACCTTCCAACAGCTTCGGAATGTGAAATCACCAATAGGAAGATGTGTCACATTCATTTGCGATGAAAGAAATATTCTTGGAATTTTTTTCTGAATATTACTTGACTATACCCCACAATCTGGGATGCATTTCCAAAGGAGAAAAATGATAAATGTAAATTTAAACTAGCAACAACGAATGCGACACTTCCAAAATATTCCCTCAAAAACGCCCGAATCTGCGAGGCGATTCTACTCCACGACTCAAATAATTTCTCTACAAAAAAACACATCGAATGAGAATTTGCATGCATTCACCCTTTCCAGTGATCAACCTCCACGAAGTTTCAGCAGAACTATTTCTTATCGCTACCAATGAACACATTTTCAAGATACGTTCGTTGTTCATGGTGATATACGTTTCCATCACATTTGTCAAGTTTCATTCATTGCAGAAATGCAAGACTTTGAAGTTTTAATAGAGTTTGGGATATAAGAAATGGACTCGAAGAATTCCCAACTTTCACGGGAGAGCTAATGAGAAGATATGAGCGATCTCGCACATTTTGTGACGTTAGACCGAGTTTTCGGAGATCATGATTGAGCGGGACTCGAAGCATATCAGTACGGCGTCCCCCTCGGATTTACTTAGGAAGTTTTTGGAACAATTTTGGATGTTTGGAACAATTGATGAGACTTATACAAAGAAATATTCCGAGGACAAATCGCAAAGCGATTGGACCATGTGGACGAGGCGTCCAGGATGGAACTCATCGACTGAAGCATTGAGCAAGATGCAAGGGATGGGACTCGGACAGTCAATCGCAGCCCTGGTAGAACAATTATGTTTGACACATGAAGTAATTTTTTCTCGTGATTGACGCATGCCTATTTTTCTGAGTCTGCTATATATATTTTTTCACTGAATATTCTGCAACCTGAATGCCACCTCAACCGCAACTAAAAACGTCACTGAATGTGGTCAAATGGTAGTTCATTACTGGAGAAGCAGATACAGTAATTACATGGTTAGAATAGGGCGGTAGTATAGAATAGAATGAATTGTTCCTCTTCCGATAAACTCAAAATCCTACATGTTCAATATCTCGTGTCCGAGCCCTTTTAGAGTCCCGTACAGGTCGCAGCCCTAACGTCACGAGCGTCGCGGGTGCGAATGGGATCGAGCGAGGAAATAGGAAGTGGAAGGGCGCGAGGATGAAGCAGCCGCTGGTGATCGAGAAGGACTTGGAGACATACAGGTTCCTGTTCTCGCGGATGAGGGAGAACATCCTGAATCGCGACGGGCACTGGGACCTGGTGCTGCAGGTGGAGGACGGGGAGTTCCGCTGCGACCGGTTCACGATGACGGCCTTGTGCCTGTATCTCTACGAGGGGCTGACCAGCCACTCGTGTGGAATTACACCTTCGGGTATGGATTCTCGGCGAGTCTGGACTCCGCGGTGGAGACGTTCCACGCCTCCACTGCCGTGGGACACCTATTGAAGGTGCTGGAAACCTTTTGTTGTGCTTTACCCCGCGTGCTCATCCTTGTTTCGTTTCGGCAGGGATGTACTGAAATTTGGTTTTTGTCGTCGGCTTGATATGCCATGACAACTAAGAGTCAGTGTTCAAGTATTATCTCAAAGAAGTTGGTTTGAGGCATTGAACGAATGATAGATGCATGGAATGGCAACATAACCAGAATATTTAGTAGCGGGTATAAGAACAAATATGTTCGTCCCATTATATTGCAACTTTTCTGGAGTGTGGCATATGCTTCTTTTCCTTAATTCATAATTTTGCATGTTGTATTGAATTAAGCCATAACGTTACCAAATAAAAGAAAGATTACAGAAAGAAAGATTAGTTTTGTGATGCGGAGAGATTACATGCCACATTGAACGATCATGAATTTAAACAAACAGGCGCATTTATTTCAGCGTCTGACTTGGATGGAGAAGAAACAGTCCAGCAAGTAATAAGTAAAAAAGTTTTTTATTTAAATTATCATTGAACTGTCAGCACCCTGGATATTTGATCGTGTCATTTCAAAATTCAATAACATGAAGATTGAAAAGGCAGGTCGTACTGAATTGGAGAAATTTTTTTGTTTTCCAACAAAGTCAAAATCCTACTGATATTGGTTGGTGACCAATGAAACCAGGCAGACACGGTTGGTTTTTGGTTTGGTCACTCCGATGTGCTCTTGGTGCATTTGTGTTCTCCATTTGTAGTTATCAATTGTATAACAGACATTGAGAAAGTAAAACAAATCTTATGCAAGGGAGAAAACCATTTTTATTTGAACTTCAGCAAGCTAACACCGACCCTCCTACAGCATTGGAATGTGACAAGACACATCAATGGAAACATATGACACACATGCCTTTTTGCACTGAAGGAAATATGCAAGGAGATGTTTCTTTTTGGTTTTCCTTTACAGGGGCCCAGCCATCTGGGATACGTTTGCGTAGATGCAACACATCTACAAGAAATGGAAGCTAGCGAAAAACAAAACGACTCTTGCAAAATATTCTCTCATACTGCCAAAATCTGTGAGACGACGATACATTCTACTATGTGATCCTGATATTCTCTCAATCCCATCACAGGCAAATTTCCATGCACCCAGTAGTCTCATCCCAGTAATCAAGCTCTAAGAAGTCGCAGCAGGGCTGGCGACTCACACCAAGCATTCAAACATGAACCATGATTATTTTCTCAATACATGTAACAATGCCCAACGAAAATCACATACAGGTATATATTATCATTTGAATATCATCAATTTCACGTATAAAATACTGTACTGCAAATTTTGTAGTGTTCCAGTTGACCATCTATGTGCACCTTTTGATTGTTCAAAAGTTTCCTCTAGCTGTATTGTGGGAAAATTTGGCACAATCACAATACAGTATTGCAGCGTGCATCACATAAATTGGAATGCCAAGAGAAAAAATAATCTTTAAAAAAACCCACAAAAAATCCATCGGGGATTCAGTGCTGGATGGAGCATAAATATCATATCCATCGGACAATGCAGTGTCTGCAGTGTTTTTTGTCAAATACTTTCAAATATATCCCAATATATCTACTTTGGCCACATGTGCCCTAGTCAGTTATACCTGCTACCCTAAATCCCAACCCTCTAATACACCTAGTGGACCTGTCTCATGCGAGTACCCAATATGCGAGGTAAAGCCACTATCTGTGTTTCAGCTTCTTTGGCTACATTACAACTGCAATATACTATGCAAGTTCTAACCATTCAGTGAGCAAGTGAAGATTCAATTACAGAATTGTAGTTCACCCAATAGTGTTATGGGAAAATGGAAGTGATAAGCATTCTACTGGAACTAGTGGCTGCTGTATGGAATTAGTGCATATACATGAGTACGACATCCCATAAATCTTACAGACGAACGACATCTAGCAAGTTGTCTTTTTTTCTCCTTTTATTTCAAGGGCGATTCGTTCGAACCTCCACTTGGGAGCTAGGAGGTGTCGTGGGTTCGATCCCGATCCCTTCCGCTCTCCATGTCTCTCTACCTTGGGATTCTGTGCTCATACAAACAACTCTCCACCTAGGCCTACAGTATGTATAGGTCATAACAGGTCAATGCTGACCCAATGTGGATAATATGAAGTCTATACAACAAGAACACCTGAAATGCTTCATGCAAATTGAATAATATCAATAATTTTAAGTTAAAAAAAAAAGGGAGAAACCTGAGGTAGTTGAACCAACTTCACTGGGATGCGATTCACGTCCGCCGACCCGATCGCACGGTCCCGAGCGGACCCGAGTTCACGCATGCATACGAAAATTTCAAGGAAGGATTTTTGGAAAGCAGGTACAACCTCGACCCTCGCATTGAATAGTAATGCCCTCTCATACATACCATGGAAATATAACTTCTACAGAAAAGTGAAAAAGAAGAGGTAAAATCTGGTCAACATTAACAAACAGAAGTGTCCAAACCCAAAAAATAATAATCTGGGGTACGTAAAAAGCACACCGAATGTATCCGAGAGATACCGACTAGAAAGGGATTGTGGAGACGGAAAAACGAGAAGGAGCGCGCAGCTTCCTCCACGCCGATTCCCTCTCGTCGCGACAGCCCCGAGGCGATCAGGGCAGCGGGGGCAGGAGCCCTCGTTGCATTAGGAGACCCTGGAAGCTCGAAAACAGGGTCAGCTGATCTTCTGGCTTCAGCTTCAGGATCTGGTCACCATAATAGATATAAAAGAAAAACAAATATCTCAGCTTTTCGAGATCAGCCTGTTTTGGACGATATGACACCGTTAAAAAATCTTCCTGTTAATGCTTTTCTTGAATGAAGTTGGAACAGAAAAAGCTGGGAGTCCATAATTTCCCAGTTGGATTGTGAAAAACATCTGGAATGCAGTCACAACTGAAGGAGTACAAGGGAGAAAAAAAAAGGAAAGCAAAAAGCAGTTTCGTCTTCTTCCATACAATGGAACTTCAGTGAATTAGCTGAATACTATTGGTTAATGTTCACTTACTACTGAAGTCTCACATTTATCATGCTCCATATTCACATAACTTTACAAACAATTACATTCAGCAAAAATACAGTACTGTCATGAGCTCAAAGATCTGCATACACTTATGTCCAATCAGGCTTCAGTATGTATTATGTGGATTTTTATTCCTTACTCATAAAAGTGATGTAAAGAAAAATAAGACAAGGTAACATGTATGGCCAACTTCTCTAAAAAAAAAAAAAAAAAAAAAAAATTCCTACCCAAAGAGCAATATCTGTACTTGCTCTAATACCTTGCATTTACCTATGCATATAGAGTATTTTCATCATTCCAGCAAATTTTCCCTCGTCCCTCTTTCAACCTGACATAACACTGCCCCTATACACCTGGGGAAGCACTGACCTCGTGAAGGAGCTTCTGGGGAGATGGAGCACGAATGAAGGATGAGATGTACACGTTGACAAAGGTGGCCATGAGGAACTGGCAGTCGAAGCGGTCCAGGATCCCACCGTGGCCGGGGATCACGTCCCCGAAATCCTGTCCGACACCACGCAACATTGAGAGCCGATCGCCACGGAACGCTTTCGCAAACGACGACACCCACCTTGATCCTGAAGGCGCGCTTGAAGCCCGACGCGAAGAACCCGCCGAAGGGGCCGATGATGGACGCGAACATCGAGAGGGAGATGGAATGCCACATGAACGGGTACAAGTACACAGACTTCCTCAGCCCCAGCTGGAATCAGAGGAGCACAATTTATTACCAATATTATACATTTTCTTCATGTCTTGCATAGGAGTTGTTTCATGATGACAGGATGAAAATGAGTCAAACGTGGAAGAGGGTTACTCTATTAACTGTCCACTTAAGCAAGCAATTCCCACAGTTTGAATGACATCTGAACTGGGTTGCTGGAAAAGCACTAACTGGTCAAATCAGCTACACACAAAATGGAAAAAGTGACTCCAGAATGACTGGGAAATGGTCATTTTACAGAGGTTTCAAAGCAGATCCAAATTAATTGTTTGAAACAGACCATCTTCAACCCTTGTGACATGTCCATCAAACTCACTGGAGATCATATTTGAAACCGTAATAGAAAAAGGAATAATTAAAAAAAAGTAAGAACTGACAATGCTGCAGATGGACCGGAGGAATCCAGGGAACTGGTACTCGGTGAGCTGGAAAAGCCTCGACGGCTCGCATTCCAGGATCATCTTCTCCATCTCTTCCGAGTACTGGATCGGACACACAAAGAACTGGTACCGCCCCAGGAAGTGTGCAGCCTACAACAGAGAGCCTGAAATTCTCAGAGTCCCCTTCCCCCAAGCCTGCTTTCAAAACGGGGGAGCACGCCCAGGAAAATGAAACGAGGCAACAAGGAGAAAAACCGGAAGGGCCAAAGGCAGCCACCACCGACAGACCGCAAAATTTAAACCGCTACACACCCGACAGAAGTCCCGTCAGAACAAGGAGGTACGCACCAGACAGCCAAAGATGATGGTGGCCACCCCGCCGCCGATGAACCCCTCCCAGGTCTTCTTCGGGGACAGCTTGATCAGTGGGGTCTTCCCGAAGAAGAAGCCGAACATGTAGGCCCAGATGTCGTTGCATATGATCATGGACACGGGGATCACAAACCTGATTGTGAATGCAGAAGACTTATTTGCTAAGGCCAATGCAGTATCCGGGAAATTTAAGGATTGACTTTGCACCATTTGACCATTCCATTTTAACCCCTCTCCAATGGAAGACGTATATTTACATCATGGGACTTAGCACCTGGCCAAAGCTGGAATAACACCATTGGGATGCTGGGTTGGCTCAGTCAATCATGCGGTCAAGGGGTTAAGGCATCAAAAACCTTCATGCCAATTTTATCTCTCAGGATGGACCTCTATGCAACATAAGTGTGATCAACTCATCATATTTGATCCCTCATCAGGCAACGTTGAAGCACGATCTCTTCTATTCCAAATTTTCAAAGAGTTGGCAAGCATGGATGGAGTCAATTACTTTTTCTAGAGCTCCCCTATAGCAGTCTCAGTGAAATACCTTATCAAGACTGTGCAAACATCATTCTATTAATTATTTCTTCAATTATTGTCGCACTGCATCATCTATTGAGATTATAATATAAATTTACACCTTTCCTTGAAATATATCCATTCCAGCACAAAAAGCAGTCTGCCAGAGCATAAAGCTAATTTGAAAGCCACGAGCATAAAGTATTTTTAAAATCCTGACCAGATGAGCCCTTCAAAGACGTTCTGAATGATGAGGTAACTCTGGGTGACGCAGATGAGGAGCGCAATGTGGGTCCATGCAAAGAGGAAGAACTGGCGCATGTAGTACTTCTTCACCAGGGACAGGACGAACCAGCAGAACCCGACGATGTAGAGTGAGAACGAGATGAACCTGTGATACGTCACCAAGGCATGGAGGAGCTCCTGTTGGGGATTTCCAAACATAGAAAAATGGTATTGTACTTTGGTACTTTGGACAAATGGTACTCTGTACAAATGGTACTTTGGAAATGGACATTTAATGATAAAGATTTGCATGAACTTAGACCAAAAATTACATCTCAACGGGAAACTCTAGCATTTTCAAGGCTCATGATATCTACATTCTCCAGAGAAGGAATTCTAATTCATCACCAAGAATATTCTACACGTTGTTGAAGAGCGAAAGAAGAGCGTGCCAGACTCACAGTCTTGTTCACAAGCACCCCGAAGTAATCGACGAGGCTTTCTCCGTAGAAGAAGTAGTTGGAGGCGATCAAGAAGTACCAGGAAATGGAGCGGAACCACGGCAGCCCGTGGACCCGGTACACGGCGTANCGTACCCGATGTTGATGATCTCCGTGAAGCACTTCACTTGAACCATCAGGGTCTACGAAGAACAGACGCGCCTCTGTGCGTGCTCGTATTGAAACAGACGTAAAAACCAGACAACTGAGGCTGGACTCACGATTATCATGAGAGCAAGGGGACCCATGTAGATCAGGAAGAAGAAGCCCCCAATCATCAACCAGGTGAAGATGAAGCGGATCAGATAGTTTCGCCATCTGCATTTCGGCATTTCAAGATCCGTCACAATTGCTTTCGTTGCAAGGCAGTACATCAAATATGCATAACAGAATCTCAGGACATGAGTTCCAGCTGTGTCAACTTTCCAGACATTAAATGCTTGAGACAGGAATCACTAGTGTCCTGGCAAGAGACATATAGCCTACAGGCCCAAAATGCAACATTGAATCAGAGGCAAATTTTCAACTCTGATGAAAGCAGAAAAACATCATACAAACTGAACAATTGCAGTCTAGCAGAGGGGTTGCTTCACAAGAGTCAAAAAAGACTCTGCAGGAAAATTCTGAATATCAACCATATTTCTTAAATGATGCACATTAGTGTCTAACTCAGAGATTGAAAAAGTATAGAGATCTTAATGTAACACATATGACCTTTGACACCTCTCTTATGCTTACATTGCACAGTGTTTCCAGGTGTTCTTGTTCAACTTCCATTGAAACTATATTTTTTTTTTATTCTGGAGGCTTTTTTTTGGAACAGACAAGAGCAGGCAATAGTCATCAACTTTCAAGTCTACGCGATTCCCACGCGACGCAAACTCACTTCGGCGGGAGGCCAGACAAGACGCCATCGAGCGGACTCGGCTTCGCCTCGGTGGCGAGGTTGCCCAACTTCTTGGTCAGCCCCTCCACCAGCTTCTCCTCGGGACACTTCTCGTCGAAGTCCGAGTCCACCTCCACGTTCTTGGAAAGGAAAACCGAGGTCGATCAGATGAACCGTAAACCGTTCTAACTCGAGGCTCTCGGGCATGAGAAATCCTGCGGCGACTAAAGCCCAACTTTTTCTTTAAAGCCATCAAACCTCAGGCTGCATTTGCTGGCCTAAGCCTAGCTATAAGAGTGGGAACTAATTAAATTCTACTTTACAGTCTTCAGATTAGTATATCCATACAATGGGGAGAACCAAAAAAAAAGCATTATCAGATGCTGGTTAATAAAAGGAGCTTAGCTAAGAATCAATGGCTAAAAGAGCTTAACTGAGAATCAAATACAAGAAACGAGATGTGGCATAGCAAGGGGGGACTGAAGCCCCTCAAGTTTGATTCCAGTCCCTGGGACTCTGGTCTAAATGGATCTGGCACCCCTCCCCCACCCCACTCCAAAATAATTCCTGGCTGTTATTGCACGGCTAGAGAAATGTTAGCAACCCCCCATTCCCCTTCTTGTGAAACCCCAGCCATGCCACTGATGATGAGGCAATGTCAGACATATAGTATCAAGTGAAACTGGTTCGTGAAGTTCTACACAAAAGCGGAGATGATGCGTGAGCTCGTTCGAGTAATATCGGCCAGAGAACCTTAAAAAAAAAAAGCTGACAAACAAGAAACAGATTTATCATCAAGATAGCTAAGGTTACTATTAGACACACCAAGGGGTTAAGCCACACTAAATGATAGGACTCGTGAGGCTCGACTCGACATTACTACTTTAATGAACTCTGATGGTGTAATTTCTTAATTCTCAGATCCAAAATATAATTTTCTCAACCTAGATGGTGCAAAAACAGCCATTGGCCTGTGGTCATGTCAAGTCAGAATTAGAACCCCAC